CACCCACAGATGGGTATGGTGTGACTACCACCCACAGGATGGGTAGATGTGACTACCACCCACAGGGTGGGTATGGTGTGACTACCACCCACAGGATGGGTAAGGGTGACTACCACCCACAGGATGGTATGGGGTGACTACCACCCACAGGATGGGTATGGTGTGACTACCACCCACAGGATGGGTATGGTGTGACTACCACAAACGGATGGGTATGGGGTGACTACCCCCCCACAGGATGGGTTTTGGGGTGACTACCACCCACAGGATGGGTATGGTGTGACTACCACCCCGGGAAAGGGTAGGTGGACTACCACCCACAGGATGGGTATGGGGGTGACTACCACCCACAGGATGGGTATGGTGTGACTACCACCCACAGGATGGGTATGGTGTGACTACCACCCACAGGAAGGGTATGGTGTGACTACCACCCACAGGATGGGTATGGGGTGACTACCACCCACAGGATGGGTATGGGGTGACTACCACCCACAGGATGGGTATGGTGTGACTACCACCCACAGGATGGGTATGGTGTGACTACCACCCACGGGATGGGTATGGTGTGACTACCACCCACAGGGTGGGTATGGGGGGACATCCACCCACAGGATGGGTATGGGTGACTACCACCCACGGGATGGGTTGGTTGTGACTACCACCCACAGGATGGTATGGGGTGACTACCCCCCACAGATGGGTAAAGGGTGACTACCCCCCACAGGGTGGGTAATGGTGTGACTACCACCCACAGGATGGGTATGGGGTGACTACCACCCACAGGATGGGTATGGGGTGACTACCACCCACAGGATGGGTATGGGGTGACTACCACCCACAGGATGGGTATGGTGTGACTACCACCCACAGGATGGGTATGGTGTGACTACCACCCACAGGATGGGTATGGTGTGACTACCACCCACAGGATGGGTATGGGGTGACTAACACCAACAGGATGGGTATGGGGTGACTAACACCAACAGGATGGGTATGGGGTGACTACCACCAACAGGATGGGTATGGGGTGACTAACACCAACAGGATGGGTATGGGGTGCATAATAAGCATATTAAACTAACAACAATCCTGAGAGCAAGTTTGCAAGCAGTGGTCGCCATGCTGACAGTGGTCGCCATGCTGACAGTGGTCACCATGCTGACAGTGGTCGCCATGGTGACAGTGGTCGCCATGCTAACAGTGGTCGCCATGCTGACAGTGGTCGCCATGCTGACAGTGGTCGCCATGCTGACAGTGGTCGCCATGGTGACAGTGGTCGCCATGCTAACAGTGGTCGCCATGCTGACAGTGGTCGCCATGCTGACAGTGGTCGCCATGCTGACAGTGGTCGCCATGCTGACAGTGGTCGCCATGCTGACTGGTCGCCATGCTGACAGTGGTCGCCATGCTGACTGGTCGCCATGCTGACAGTGGTCGCCATGCTGACAGTGGTCGCCATGCCGACAGTGGTCGCCATGCTGACAGTGGTCGCCATGCTGACAGTGGTCACCATGCTGACAGTGGGTCACCATGCTGACAGTGTCCCCCAATGCGACAGTGGTCACCTTGCTGACAGTGGTCGCCATGCTGACAGTGGTCGCCATGCTGACAGTGGTCACCATGCTGACAGTGGTCACCATGCTGACAGTGGTCACCATGCTGACAGTGGTCACCATGCTGACAGTGGTCGAAATGCTGACAGTGGTCATCATGCTGACAGTGGTCACCATGCTGACAGTGGTCACCATGCTGACAGTGGTCACCATGCCGACAGTGGCCACCATGCTGACAGTGGTCGCCATGCTGACAGTGGTCGCCATGCTGACAGTGGTCACCATGCTGGCAGTGGTCACCATGCTGACAGTGGTCGAAATGCTGAGAGTGGTCACAATGCTGACAGTGGTCACCATGCTGACAGTGGTCGCCACACTGACAGTGGTCGCCATGCTGACAGTGGTCGCCATGCTGAGAGTGGTCGCCACGCTGACAATGGTCGCCATGCTGACAGTGGTCGCCATGCTGACAGTGGTCACCATGCTGACAGTGGTCACCATGCTGACAGTGGTCGCCATGCTGACAGTGGTCACCATGCTGACAGTGGTCACCATGCTGACAGTGGTCGCCATGCTGACAGTGGTCACCATGCTGACAGTGGTCACCATGCTGACAGTGGTCGTCATGCTGACAGTGGTCACCATGCTGACAGTGGTCACCAGCGACAGTGGGCACCATGCTGACAGTTTGGTCGCCATGTTGAGTGGTCACCATGCTGACAGTGGTCACCATGCTGTCAGTGGTCACCATGCTGACAGTGGTCACCATGCTGACAGTGGTCGCCACGCTGACAGTGGTCACCATGCTGACAGTGGTCACCATGCTGACAGTGGTCACCATGCTGACAGTGGTCGCTATGCTGAGTGGTCACCATGCTGACAGTGGTCACCATGCTGTCAGTGGTCACCATGCTGACAGTGGTCACCATGCTGACAGTGGTCACCATGCTGACAGTGGTCGCCACGCTGACAGTGGTCACCATGCTGACAGTGGTCGCCATGCTGACAGTGGTCACCATGCTGACAGTGGTCACCATGCTGACAGTGGTCACCATGCTGACAGTGGTCGCTATGCTGAGTGGTCACCATGCTGACAGTGGTCACCATGCTGTCAGTGGTCACCATGCTGACAGTGGTCACCATGCTGACAGTGGTCACCATGCTGACAGTGGTCACCATGCTGACAGTGGTCGCCACGCTGACACTGATCACCATGCTGACAGTGGTCACCATGTTGACAGTGGTCACCATGCTGACAGTGGTCACCATGCTGACAGTTGTCAGTACGCTGACAGTGGTCACCATGCTGACAGTGGTCACCATGCTGTCAGTGGTCACAATGCTGACAGTGGTCAGCACGCTGACAGTGGTCACCATGCTGACAGTGGTAAACATGCTGACAGTGGTCACCATGCTGACAGTGGTCACCATGCTGACAGTGGTCACCATGCTGACAGTTGTCAGCACGCTGACAGTGGTCACCATGCTGACAGTGGTCACCATGCTGTCAGTGGTCACCATGCTGACAGTGGTCAGCACGCTGACAGTGGTCACCATGCTGACAGTGGTCACCATGCTGACAGTTGTCAGCACCGCTGACAGTGGTCACCATGCTGACAGGGTCCCCCATGCTGTCAGTGGTCACCATGCTGACAGTGGTCAGCACGCTGACAGTGGTCACCATGCTGACAGTGGTCAACATGCTGACAGTGGTCACCATGCTGACAGTGGTCACCATGCTGACAGTTGTCAGTACGCTGACAGTGGTCACCATGCTGACAGTGGTCACCATGCTGTCAGTGGTCACCATGCTGACAGTGGTCAGCACGCTGACAGTGGTCACCCATGCTGACAGTGGTAAACATGCGACAGTGGTCACCAGCTGACAGTGGTCACCATGCTGACAGTTGTCAGCACGCTGTCAGTTGCACCATGCTGACAGTGGTCACCATGCTGTCAGTGGTCACCATGCTGACAGTGGTCAGCACGCTGACAGTGGTCACCATGCTGACAGTGGTCACCACGCTGACAGTGGTCAGCACGCTGACAGTGGTCACCATGCTGACAGTGGTCAACTGCTGACAGTGGTCCCAAAGCTGACAGTGGTCACCATGCTGACAGTGGTCACCATGCTGACAGTTGTCCAGCACGCTGACAGTGGTCACCATGCTGACAGTGGTCACTTGCTGTCATGGTCACCATGCTGACAGTGGTCAGCACGCTGACAGTGGTCACCATGCTGACAGTGGTCAACATGCTGACAGTGGTCACCATGCTGACAGTGGTCACCATGCTGACAGTGGTCACCCCTGCGACAGTTATCAGCACGCTTTACAGTGGTCACCATGCTGACAGTGGTCACCATGCTGTCAGTGGTCACCATGCTGACAGTGGTCAGCACGCTGACAGTGGTCACCATGCTGACAGTGGTCAGCACGCTGACAGTGGTCAGCACGCTGACAGTGGTCACCACGCTGACAGTGGTCACCATGCTGTCAGTGGTCACCATGCTGACAGTGGTCAGCACGCTGACAGTGGTCACCATGCTGACAGTGGTCACCACGCTGACAGTGGTCAGCACGCTGACAGTGGTCACCATGCTGACAGTGGTCAACATGCTGACAGTGGTTCACCATGCTGACAGTGGTCACCAGCGACAGTGGTCACCATGCTGACAGTTGTCAGCACGCTGACAGTGGTCACCATGCTGGGCAGTGGTCACCACGGGGGTCAGTGGTCCCCCATGCTGACATGGTCAGCACGCTGACAGTGGTCACCATGCTGACAGTGGTCAACATGCTGACAGTGGTCACCATGCTGACAGTGGTCACCATGCTGACAGTGGTCACCATGCTGACAGTTGTCAGCACGCTGACAGTGGTCACCATGCTGACAGTGGTCACCACGCTGACAGTGGTCAGCACGCTGACAGTGGTCAGCACGCTGACAGTGGTCAGCACGCTGACAGTGGTCAGCACGCTGACAGTGGTCAGCACGCTGACAGTGGTCAGCACGCTGACAGTGGTCAGCACGGTGACAGTGGTCAGCACGGTGACAGTGGTCAGCACGCTGACAGTGGTCACCACGCTGACAGTGGTCAGCAGGTCTACCCTGGTATTGCCAATCACTGGAAAGCTGTCAAATATAGAAGATAAATAAGATTAAGTTCGGTAGAAGGTCACAGACAGCTAATACTACATTTTGTTGCAACGTTTCGCTCTCCAGGAACTCTGATAAACCCGGCTTTATAACTTGACGGCTTGAGCCGTTACGTTGTCACAAAAAGCCACATCAGTGACATCTGTGTCCATTTACCTAACAGACCGTCGGTAATTCTACTAATATTATTAAGTCCCTTAAATTATGTGAGTTCATAGGGACCGACGCTGAATAACCCATTCGGGTTTAGTGCCTTATGGTAAAACAGGAGTATTAAAGAATCAGTATTATTAAGTACTTTTATTACGAAATATACACATTATTGGTATGTGAAATTTCAAAAATACTCTGCTCATTTCTATTTCAAATATTCCATAGAGAAGAAGATGATCTGTTATTCTAAAATGTTTTTGTAAATTTCAGCGGCGATATTATTATTAGTGAGTGAGGTGCCTAGCATGGGGCGAACAAGTGAACAAAGATGAACATAGAGAACACAACCACCCAGGTGAACTATGATAGTGGTGCAACAAGTGTGCATGGTACAGTGGTACATGTGAACTGTGGTACGTGGTACAGTGGTACATGTGAACTGTGGTACATGGTACAGTGGTACATGTGAACTGTGGTACATGGTACAGTGGTACATGTGAACTGTGGTACGTGGTACAGTGGTACATGTGAACTGTGGTACATGTGAACTGTGGTACATGTGAACTGTGGTACAGGTGAACTGTGCTACATGTGAACTGTGGTACAGGTGAACTGTGCTACATGTGAACTGTGGTACATGTGAACTGTGGTACATGTGAACTGTGGTACATGTGAACTGTGGTACAGGTGAACTGTGCAACATGTGAACTGTGGTACATGTGAACTGTGGTACATGTGAACTGTGGTACATGTGAACTGTGGTACATGTGAACTGTGGTACATGTGAACTGTGGTACATGTGAACTGTGGTACATGTGAACTGTGGTACAGTAGTGCAGGTTACAACTCCTCAAGGGTCTTTGACATTGGCGGACCTACATTTTTGGGGCCCTGAAGCTTGAACTGTTATGGGGGCCCCTTCGCAACCCCTTCTCATACAGTAGACCCAGAATTTTTAAGCAATGTGGACTAAAATGGCTCCCGGGGCCCCTCCGGGATTAGGGACCCTAAAGTTTAAGATTCATTAGTTCCATAGTAGATCCATCCTTGGTTTTTAATGCCTGTTCTTGATTCTGGACTTGTTCTATCCTTCCTCGGATCGAACCTGATGGTCTCCCATTCTCCAAGTACTGCACGACCCCCTTACGAGTTTTGCACTTCCTCAAATATAATAATAATAATAATAATAATAATAATAATAATAATAATAATAATAATAATAATAATAATAATAATAATAATAATAATAATACAACTTACAAATTTACCTTAATTTATTCTACGGCCGCTGTGAACTTTCATCTACCTTCATTTCTCACAACTTAGACAAATAACTAAAATGAAACACAATCATTCTTTTTTAGCAGGGCTGGAAGTCTCCGGAGAGACACACCTGCTAGCAGGGCTGGAAGTCCCTGGAGAGACACACTTGCTAGCAGGGCTGGAAGACCCTGGAGACTTGCTAGCAGGGCTGGAAGACCCTGGAGAGACAGACCAGCTAGCATGGCTGGAAGACCCTGCATAGATAGTCCTGCTAACAGGGCTGGAAGACCCTGGATAAACAGGCCAGCTAGTAGGGCTGGAAGGCTCTGGAGAGAGAGACCTGGTAGCAGGGCTGGAAGACCCTGGAGAGACACCTGCCAGTAGGGCTGGAAAACTCTGGATAGACACACCTACTAGCAGGGCTGGAAGACCCTGGATATACAGACCAGCTAGCAGGGCTGGAAGACCCTGAATAGACAGACCAGCTAGCAGGGCTGGAAGACCCTGGATATACAGACCAGCTAGCAGGGCTGGAAGACCCTGGATATACAGACCAGCTAGCAGGGCTGGAAGACCCTGGAGAGAGACACCCGCCCTACTGTATTTCTTGGTGGATGGTAAGTTTATAAGGAGCCTAGACAGGTTCACATGGTTGGTGTGTGTTGCCTGTATAATGTACACACTTGTATACTGTACACCTGTATACTATACATCTGTATACTGCACACCTGTATACTGCACATCTGTATACTGCACACATGTGTACTGCACATCTGTTTTACTCTTGTCACTAGTGTTCAAAACACCACCAATATGTTTGCTCAAAGTATTCCTTTGTGGTGTTTATTATAAAATATAAAAATACGCAAATACATGTATACATATACAAGACTTAGGAAGGAAATTCCTTTATAAATCAATGATCTCTGAGCCAAATATTTGAGGTGGTCAGTGTGGGAGAGTCGTGGCCAGGCGTCCAGAAATAACTTGTCTGGGGTACAAGACAACCGTTGTGGATATACTTAATATATATAACGTGAACTGCAAGAATCGCGAACAAGCTATACAAAATGCAAAACAGCCACAGGGGGAATTGAATGATAGCTCTAGACCTTTCGTGTTGCAATCAACACATCATCAGGAGCTTGCAATGTTGCAGAAATGAGTCAGAGATCTCAGCAGATTCGTTCAGAGGGACGCTCTTGCAAGAGCGAATCTGCTGAGATCTCTTACTCATGTCTGCACTATTGCAAGTTCCTGATAATATACTGATTGCAACACGAAAGGCCTTGAGCTATCATTCAACTGCCCCTGTGGTTGTTTTGTATAACGGGAAGTTGAAGGGATTAGTGAAAAAAGCCGAGGAACAAGAATAATCTCAGCCTAGTATCCCAAATATTAAAAAAAAAAAACTGAACCTACAGAAACGGCAAAGTTTTTATAAGATAATATAATAACCAGAACAATTCGATAATTAAGAACTACTCAAAAAAAAACCTCCTTATGAAGGGTCATTTTTGATTAGTGGAAATCAAAGATGTCACGCAAAAATGACATGACTTTCCCTGACTTCGAGTAATATATTAAGTCGTTCATTATCCAAAAAAAAGTTTGTCTCGTCTCTAGTGTTACCAGAGCTATTTTTTATACTCTTGTATTTGTGCCTTATTATTAATAAAGACCACTGAAATATATTGTTAAAACTAAAGTCTTAAGTCTTACTACACACGAACTTCTGTATAATCTAGAGTGAATGAAAAAAATCAAAATTAATTCTAACCTAACTATAAAGTTATACAGGAAAGACTGAGACATTAACTGGATGATACAGTTTACAGTGACTGTTGGATAACTGTGTCTTAAATGTATATATTAAAACAACTCTAATAAACACTACAGTCTGCCTCATATTTCCTGACCACTGAGCAACTGTCTGCAGTTATTATCTATAACCACCAGACATCACTCAGCAACTGTCTGCAGTTATTATCTATAACCACCAGACATCACTGAGCAACTGTCTGCAGTTATTATCTATAACCACCAGACATCACTGAGCAACTGTCTGCAGTTATTATCTATAACCACCAGACATCACTCAGCAACTGTCTGCAGTTATTATCTATAACCACCAGACATCACTGAGCAACTGTCTGCAGTTATTATCTATAACCACCAGACATCACTCAGCAACTGTCTGCAGTTATTATGTATAACCACCAGACATCACTGAGCAACTGTCTGCAGTTATTATCTATAACCACCAGACATCACTCAGCAACTGTCTTCAGTTATTATCTATAACCACCAGACATCACTCAGCAACTGTCTGCAGTTATTATCTATAACCACCAGACATCACTCAGCAACTGTCTGCAGTTATTATCTATAACCACAAGACATCACTCAGCAACTGTCTGCAGTTATTATCTATAACCACCAGACATCACTCAGCAACTGTCTGCAGTTATTATCTATAACCACCAGACATCACTCAGCAACTGTCTGCAGTTATTATCTATAACCACCAGACATCACTCAGCAACTGTCAGCAGTTATTATCTATAACCACCAGACATCACTTAATCATTCAGGGTAGACATATTTCATCCTATATTCCACCATAGAAAAGTTTAGTGTGTAAAGAAGAGAGGAAGTGTTGCATGACCATCACTGTTACAACACTGCATGACCGTCACTGTTACAACACTGCATGACCGTCACTGTTACAACACTGCATGACCATCACTGTTACAACACTGCATGACCGTCACTGTTACAACACTGCATGACCATCACTGTTACAACACTGCATGACCATCACTGTTACAACACTGCATGACCATCACTGTTACAACACTGCATGACCATCACTGTTACAACACTGCATGACCATCACTGTTACAACACTGCATGACCATCACTGTTACAACACTGCATGACCATTACTGTTACAACACTGCATGACCATCACTGTTACAACACTGCATGACCATCACTGTTACAACACTGCATGACCGTCACTGTTACAACACTGCATGACCTTCACTGTTACAACACTGCATGACCGTCACTGTTACAACACTGCATGACCATCACTGTTACAACACTGCATGACCATCACTGTTACAACACTGCATGACCATCACTGTTACAACACTGCATGACCATCACTGTTACAACACTGCATGACCATCACTGTTACAACACTGCATGACCTTCACTGTTACAACACTGCATGACCATCACTGTTACAACACTGCATGACCATCACTGTTACAACACTGCATGACCATCACTGTTACAACACTGCATGACCTTCACTGTTACAACACTGCATGACCATCACTGTTACAACACTGCATGACCATCACTGTTACAACACTGCATGACCTTCACTGTTACAACACTGCATGACCTTCACTGTTACAACACTGCATGACCGTCACTGTTAAAACACTGCATGACCATCACTGTTACAACACTGCATGACCTTCACTGTTACAACACTGCACGACCATCACTGTTACAACACTGCATGACCGTCACTGTTACAACACTGCATGACCATCACTGTTACAACACGGTACATTCACCTAGACACAACCCGTCTTAACACCCAACATAAGAAGCGTCTAGTTTCTAACGATCTTAGAAACACTTGACGTTACCAACAAGTTACTCTGACAGATTTCATCAAATTAAGTACAAAGTTCATCCTGTATGATGGAATATGAGAGGGGGACCTAGCTAGCTTTTGTTACTACTATGTGTCATATAGAGCAGTGTAGCAGTACACTGATGATGAAACTAATGCTGTTAATAATAAAAACTACGTCAACTTCCCATGTTATCTGATTACTGACTGTTAATATAAGTATATTTGGGATAATATAATTAATATTTTTATTTGTCAGTTGCTTATATCGTTTAGATACAGACGCTGGTATATTAGAAAAGAAGCGGTTTATTTTGAAGATTGCAAGGTAATTTGTGATGGCTTAGACTTGTGTGTCATCACTGTGGTGTGTGTCTGGTGTCCCGGTGCTGCCACCAGCGTCCCTGCCACCACCCATGCCACCGTCCACACCATTACCACCCACACCACCGCCCAGGTGCTTGACAGGACGTACAGATTCTGGCGAACTGTCACTTCTACTGGGAAGAGACAAATTGTAATTAGTGCTGACTAAGGGATCTTTCAAACACAGTTCCTTCTTATAGGTATAAAACTATTTTCTGACATTATTATTTCTTTTTAATTAATATAAAAACATTAAAGAATCATATACTGTTTGAGCCTGATAGAGACACAGTAGCTTCGTGAGACCAGCTGTCTGGCAGTGGCAACAGTACAGAGTAATCAGCAGTCTGCTCAGTGATAATGCTTGTGGTAGTGTATCCTGACAGTAAGTAATGAATAATTATAACAATAATTTTTAAAGGAGTGGAGTGGTAAGCCAGTGGAAGGCCTCGGTCAGATGACCGAAAGCTACAGCTGTGGAAAATTAAATTTACTTGGATGAATCTCATTAAGATCTAAACCTCCATAATCTAACACACAATCAAAACCTATTGGAAAGTAACTGTCTTTATTACACAGCATCACAAGCCACCACTATCCTAAACAATGCTAAAAGTCTATCAGTACTTAACTACAACATCAGGTCCTTAAGCAAACACTATGATGACCTCCTGGCACTCCTTGAATCACTAAAGACACCCTTCTCCTGCATTATTCTTACTGAGACCTGGCTTAAGCAGGACACAATAGATATCTACCCTCTACCAGGATACACAGCAATTCACAACTGCAGAACAAACCAAGTTGGGGGTGGTATTGCAATCTATTACTCTAACCAATTATCTTGTATTAGCACCACTTGCTTTAGTGATGAATATGGGGAATACATTTTTGCTAATTTACTGTAAAAAAACCTTAAGACACCTATAACAATCGGTGCCATTTACCGGATACCTCACACAAACATCCCCAAATTTCAGTGAGAAATTAAAGTCACTAATAACAAACAGACAAATGAATAAGCACCACCTTCTCTTAGCTGGAGACTTCAACATCAACCTTGGCATACTAGATGATCAGCCTGTAACAGATTTCATCAACAATATGAACAACACACTTCTCATACCAACAATAACTAAACCAACCAGGCTCACTGAGACAAGTGCAACCATAATAGACCACATATGGACCAATATACTAGCCCCCCTTAAATCAGGGATAATCACAGATAGCACTACAGACCACTACCCTACCTTCCTCCTGACAAACATTAGTAAACCACCACTTGAATACAACAAAGTCTCATTTAGACTCCATGACGAGGCCTCAGTAAGGAAGTTCACAGCTGACCTAGAGACTGTTGACTGGCCTACAGAATTCTCCAAGGCCAATGGTATTGATGACTGGACAGACATTTTTTCTTAACAAATTACTTAGACTATACAACAAACATTGTCCTATAAAAACGAAACAGATCACAAACAAACGGCTTGGTTGCCCATGGCTAACCAGCACCATTCTGAAATCCATTGACAAGAAACACCAATATGAAAAGCAATATAGACAGGGCTTAATACACAAAGATATTCTTAAACACTATTCATCAGCTCTCACCAAAGTAATAAAGAAAGCCAAACAACTATACTACTCCAGTAGATTCACAGACACTAGAAGAGATATAAAAAAGACCTGGAAAACACTCTCTAAGATTCTAGGGACCCACAAACTGATAAAAACCAAGAATATTGTCCTAACTAAAACCTAATGAAACACCACTACATCCACTGACACAGCTAACAAGATAAACGACTTCTTCTCAACCATAGGATCTAATCTCGCCAGTAAAATCCCACATACCAATGCCCATGCCGGGGACTACCTAGATGGGAATTTTCCTAATTCCTTCTATCTTGCACCAACTGAGCCCACGGAAGTCACCGAGATTATAAAGTCACTTAAAAATAACTCGGGGAATCTGTCTCATGTCCCACCATTACTGTACAAGTGAGCGGCCCATGTCCTTTCGCATGCTATTTCATTACTTTTTAACAAGTCACTAGAGACTAGCACCTTCCCGAAACTACTCAAGATGGCAAGGGTTACACCAACACATAAAGGTGGTGACCCTACGGACTTAAACAACTATAGGCCAATATCTAACTTACCATTGCTATCCAAAATCTTTGAGAAACTCGTGCACAGGAGACTGTATTCATTTATAACGGCTCAAAACATACTCAACCCCTGCCAATTTGGATTCAGGAAAAATAAAAGCACTAATGATGCAATCATAAAAATGCTAGATCTGCTTTACACAGCATTGGAAAATAAGGAATATCCACTAGGAATTTTTATTGACCTAAGAAAAGCTTTTGACACAGTAGACCACGACATCCTACTCCACAAACTTGATCATTACGGTATAAGAGGCCATGCGCTTGCTTATTTCAAATCTTACATTACTAATAGGTATCAGTACGTCACCATTTAAAGACACAGCATCAGCAACACGGCCACTTGATACTGGAGTTCCGCAGGGAAGTGTCCTTGGTCCCCTGCTCTTCCTCATATACATCAATGACCTTCCAAACGTATCCCAACACCTGAAACCCATTCTCTTTGCTGACGACACGACTTATGTCATCTCTCACCCTAATCTTGCCACCCTCAACACCATTGTGAATGAGGAGCTGATTAAAATATCGACTTGGATGACAGCCAATAAACTTACGCTTAACACTGACAAAACCTACTATATTATGTTTGGTAGCAGAGCAGGAGATGCACAAATTAACATTAAGATTGGCAACACTCTAATTACCAGAAATAATGGGGGCAAATTCCTAGGCTTATACCTTGACAACAACCTGAATTTCAGCACCCATATCCAGCATATAACCAAAAAAGTATCCAAAACGGTTGGGATCCTCTCCAAGATACGATACTACGTGCCGCAAAATGCCATTCTCACAATATACCACTCACTTATTTATCCATACCTCACCTATGCTGTTTGTGCTTGGGGATCAACTGCAGCAACACACCTAAAGCCAATAATAACCCAACAAAAAGCTGCAGTAAGAATAATCACTAAATCCCATCCCTGGCAACACCCCCCCCCCCCACTCTTCATAGACTTAAACTTACTCCCAGTTCAGTACATCCACACTTACTACTGTGCAATCTACATCTACAGGGCCTTAAACTCTAATATCAACCTTGACCTAAAATGCTTTCTTGATAGTTGTGACAGAACCCACAGGCATAACACCAGACACAAACATCTCTACGACATTCCCCGTGTCCGACTAAACCTTTACAAAAATTCAATGTATGTCAAAGGCCCTAAAATCTGGAACACCCTACCTGAGAACTCTAGAACTGCAGACACATTCATCACCTTCAAAACTACCATTAGAAAACATCTTATCTCCCTGATACACCCCGTCAACTAACTACACGAATACCACTGGTGGTTCACACTTACACTCCTCACTCATTTGACCATAAACAGAAATATTAATCTCAATCTTAAAATAATGAATCATGTGATACTCCAATACTGAAACTATGTACTGTGCCAAAACAAAAGCATTCACATTGCTAAACTCACAAACTAGTATTTAGTCACTTAGCCATAATACCAACTTACCTCATAATTTGTAATATTTTACAATTAAGAATAAAACTAAGTCTGCCCGAAATGCCTAGCCATGCTAAGCGTTCTAGTGGTACACTCTGTAATCACTATTTTACAACATGTAAACCACACAATAACCAAATTTCTGTAAACTCAGCATTGTAATCCTTATAGAGAATAAACTTTGAATTTGAATTTGAATTTGAAGATACATACCAGTAAATGGTAACAAAGATAATTATTATTTATCAAAGTTATAGAGACATGTAGGAATTTTAGGACACCTAGGTCGCAAAAAATGTCCTCCTTCGATACCTACTACTGTTATATCTCCACAAGTCACTCTGGACCTATATTAATTTCAAATGAAATATACATCACCAGGAATTCTGGTAAAAACATTAATATAAATATGTGGACTGTATATTAAATTTAAAAAATGAATATATATACATTGAAGGAGAATTTATTATAATAAGACTCACCAATTAGTCTGGAGATTACGGTGTATCATACACAAAACCCCCTGCCTAAAATTATGAAGAAAATACTGGCCAGAATTCCAACATAAATATAGACATCGACTTAGCTGGGGTTCCTGGACTGTCCTGTCCACTCGCCTAATGCTCACATTATGCAGGACTGCAATTCCAAAAATTTCTGCTCCTATCTGGGAAGTTTCAACCACAATTTAACTTCCAGAGCGACGAAATTTGTGCACATTTCACTAGCGTGCCTGTACCACATTCAAAACAATGGCGTCTCTTCCCCAGCGACGCTCACCCATCACTGGTTCTTTATTTACAAATTAATTTTTATTACCTACAATATATTCCATCAATTTACATACAAAATACACTGTATTTTGGGAAAATATACAGTATTTTCTACAACAGCTGTGGGTCATCATATGACTAAGATCCCGCATCAGGAAACACTTGTCATGTTTGCTGACACACCTGACCTGACCTGACCTAACTTATGCAGACAGTACAGCTACCCAGGTGTACATAGTCTCTGAACAATACACAAACTTGTGTTTATTATAAATATTACTGAAGTATTTCGTTAAAGCTAAAGTCTTAAGTGTTAATATAAGCAAACATCTGAATAATCTAAAATGAATAAAAAATCAAGCCTAAATCTTGGTACCATTGTAAAAGTATTATTGATAGTGTTGACGTAAGAGTTGATATATGAAAGCTCAATGTTGCAGAGTATGTTGACAAGTTTGGTAAAGCTTGTAGTGACCTGTCAGGCCAACGAACAAGAGTAGTCCTTGAGGAAAATGCTACGTCAGGTCAGGATTGTCAGGAAACAGAAGTATTTCCTGACGCGGATCTTAGTCACATGATGACTTGCAGCTGCAGGTTTTGGTCATCTGACAGAGGCCTTCCGCTGGCTTACCTGTCCACCCCTTTAAAAAAAACTTGGTTCCCGTAGAGAAAATCTTCAACACGTCTATAGACAAAAACTGACCTGTGAAGACACACT